TTTTTGATTATAATTTGTTATACATTTAAAAATATTTTAATTATTTTTAATTATTTTGGAAAATATTTTCATTTAATCCATGAAGTACTTTATTATTACTATTTATAGTATTTTTTAATATTTGTATTAAATATTTTATTTTTAAATACATGTTTTAACTATGCATTTAAATATTTAACATATTTATAATTGTTAATTATTTAGAAAGTTATATTAATCTTTTGATTTGACTAATGAAGTAATGTAATTGATAATACGGTTTCCATGTTTTGCATTGATGACATATTCTGAAGGCTTGACAGGATCTCTCAAAGGGATGTGAAACCCAACAATAACAACAAATTACAAACCATCAACATGCTAATTCATGATCTATTTGTGTTTCTAGTTCAAGTAGTTATATTAGCACCACAAAAAAGGTAGTTGAACTCAGCAGTCCAACAAGGTGTCTTGTTATAGAATAACTGTGCCTACAACACCGAATATAAGCATGAATATGATCCAGGTGAACCAGTCATCAACTTGATTTCCATATCTCCAGGGACCTCTCGGTTTGATTGACAGCTACTGATAGTGGCATTATTTGCAGTTTTGAGTCAAATACAGAGTAAAGACTGTGTGAAAGAGAAAAAGGTGGGATCATATGGGTACACTGTTCCGAATTCAATTTAACCAAGAAAATATGCCAAATAAAACATAACCACCAATTTATTTATTTGATTACACACATATGTAAACTCACACAAGAATATGCCTAGTATTTCTCTTGGCATGATGGTATTGACACTGTTGCAATAGTGGTATCATGTGACTGCTGCTGTCTCACCACTACATCAGGAGCCAATTCTACAGTATTCAACAAATTGATTGATCTGGTCAAATTTAAGTGTATTTTTCATGTTTAATTTCTATTAGCATGTCATTTTATGCACACATGCCGGTGCTATAAAGCAAAACTGTGAAAATGATCAGAAATGTACAATATTTGCAGTGAATGCATGGTATAACTGCTTTATTACTATGTTATAAATGTGTAATAACACAACTTTAAATCTCTTTATAGGGACTTGGGCAATAGTGAATGGTATAATTTAAATCATGCAGAATAGATTAGTTGGTGAGGCTGAGAGAGGAAGAGCCCAAGTGAGTGAGTTAAAGGAGAGAAAGACCCCAAAAACACAAAGAAAGTGGATAGGGAAGACCCCCCTCTCCCAGTCTCTCTCTCTCTCTCTCTCTCTCTCTCTCTCTCTCTTTCTGATTCACTTGGAAGTGTGTGTTAGCCCTCATAAAATATTAATGTTGGTTGTGCTCAGAGCCATAATTGCCATCTCAGCCCGTGAATAATTTATGCTGCTGTGCTGTTCACATGGGCTCATTTACTCTTGGTGTGGCTCGCACCATACAGGAATATGGCACAGGCAGCTATGGCCGCTGTTTTGCATTTAGTAACCAAATTAGATTACCTCATGCAAAAGCTTCTCTCATCATGATGAATTTCAGGAAATGCAAAAACCTGCTTCTTCATCGTCAACCACTCGCAATCCAGTTTAGCCAGGAACTAAACGCCCTGAAATAACTCTGTGCCGTGAGTGTTTAAATTATGCCAATGTGATTCATTTCAACATACTCTCCTTCTCTATTAAATTATACTCATTATAGACACACAAAACTACCAACATTGCACTATGTTTACAAAGAGAATTTTGAATTTAGATAAAAAAACGTTTATATTTATTGATCAATTGATCATGACAGCTGCAGTCAATTAAATAATTGTGAAATGACTGAGAAGATGGTATACTAATATAATATAATATAATATAATATAATATAATATAATATTCATTTATTAAAGAAAAAAATATGGATTAGATTGATGTTGGTTTTGAGTAAAGGAATTCATGGCTATTAGTTTGCCTTTTTATTCATGCTTTTATTAACATCGCACTATTTAAAAAGTGAAATTTGAATATAGTTTAAAATAAATATTTGCATTTATTGATCTACTAATCACAATTAAATGATTGGATTGATAATATGTGACCCTTCCATTGATGTATGGTTTGTTTGGACAATATTTGGTCGAGATACAACTATTTGAAATCTGAGGGTGCACAAAAATCTAAATATTGAGAAAATCGCCTTTAAATTTGTCCAAATGAAGTCCTTAGCAATGCATATTACTAATCAAAAATTAAGTTTTACATATATTTATGGTAGGAAATTTACAAAATATCTTCATGGAACATGATTTTTACTTAATATCTTAATATATATTTTTGGCATAAAAGAAAAATCGATAATTCTGACCCATACAATGTATTTGTGGCTATTGCTACAAATAAACCCATTCCACTTATGCCTGGTTTTGTGGTCCAGGGTCACATAGAATAGAATAGAATAGAATAGAATAATCGTAATTTTCTACAGCAGACAAAATACAAATAGGATTGAAATTGGTTTTAAGTTAAGAAACTCATGGCTAGTAGATTCTTTGCCACACTTTTCATTTTTACTTTTGTGTGAGAGTGTTTATATTTATCGTGTTGTTCATGTTCCAGATGTGACCTACAACCTGAACTAGCCTTGCCTTGTCATAACCAATTATTTGATATGTCAAAGAAAAATGATTAAAAAACATACTAATCATAGAAGAGGCTATACAAGTCATTGAATTTTGTTTTTAAATAAATGAATCGACCCAGGCAACAGAATGTGCAGAAATTAAGACCCTGAATTAAAATTGAAGACTGCTTCATTCCCATCCATTATTTTACTCTAAAGAGGTTTGTTTTATTCGGTGTATCCTCCTGTTTTTCTCCTGAATTCATCAGCGGTGGTGTATTGTGATCTGTTCTAAAGAGGTCACAGGTGTCTCACTGTTAGCTCGTGTAAGTAGGTATGGCTCCACACTCAACCCCTCTAGTAATTGGCCTTCATTGGAGTGCCCTTAACTGAAGACGACAGCAAGGTCCTTTCAATTATGGAACTGTAGGATGACTGTGAGTGTGTGTTCATGAGATGATACACACACACCTGAGTGCTCTTTGCCATATAACTGGGCTTGTTGAGCCACATTAGGTCAAAAGTATTAAGCAGCCTCCTGATATTAACCTGACTCAAATATCAAAATGGATATACACACACAAATGCACATCTACAGTGTATTTGGACACTTAAGTCACACTTTATGCCAGAGTACCATTATATTAAATCTAAGTGGCAACAGATTTTCTAACTTCACTTTTAATTCATTCACAAATTGCACGTTCTTGACAGTTTTGAATGAATTATGAGTATCGTTTTAACAGTGCATTCTTGGATTGCTTTCTTTGTAAAGGATACATATGACGCTGCCTTCAAATTTGGCTAAAATGAGGTGTCTTACTAGGCAGCATAATTAAGTTACCAACCTTTTGGAACAGCCTTTGTGTCGCAATGATGCTTTTGGAACAGAGCGATCGTGGGTGTGTTTGAAACAGAGTTATAGAAAGAATAGCACATTCAGTGTCATATTGACAAAAGAGACAGACAGAATTGCAAACAAAGAGGCAAGAGAGAAATACATGAGAAAAAAGGTCCTGACAGACGGGTATGTGCCATGGCATTATCTAGTTAGACACACACACTGTTTGTATGCCAGTCAGAGCAGCTGGTATTGTGCTGTTACAGCTCTAATGCCAGTCTGTGAGTGAAGGGTTTGTGCTAGTGCCCATGAATGTGCCCGCTTTCTGCTTACCATGATTATGAGAGAGACAGACATGTTTTTTTTCTGTTTGGATGGGACTCTGTGTGTGTGTGTGTCTTTGAATCGGCGAGCTGTCTTAGCAGCGTTTCCCACCGCGACAGATGGACGCAGACAGAATTGCAAACAAAGAGGCAAGAGAGGGAAGTACATGAGAAAAAAGGTCCTGACAGACGGGAATGTGCCATGGCATTATCCAGTTAGACACACACACTGTTTGTATGCCAGTCAGAGCAGCTGGTATTGTGCTGTTACAGCTCTAATGCCAGTCTGTGAGTGAAGGGTTTGTGCTAGTGCCCATGAATGTGCCCGCTTTCTGCTTACCATGATTATGAAGAGAGACAGACATGTTTTTTTCTGTTTGGATGGGACTCTGTGTGTGTGTGTGTCTTTGAATCGGCGAGCTGTCTTAGCAGCGTTTCCCACCGCGACAGATGGACGCTCCACATTTCAGCACACTGCCTGTTGCTGTGTGTGTTTGTCTGTGCATGTGTTTGTGTTACTGAACTTTAAGGATGTGTAAAAGTCTCTTTGAAAATGTTGTATGGTGGTTCTTCAGTTCAGTAACCTTTTTTAAATCAAGAACCTTTTTGGTAGTATAGGGTTATTCAGTCATTTCATTATCTGGACAAAAGTATTAATATTATTGGGAAAAAGTAAATATATTTCTCATGGTAAAGAGTTTTATTTAATCGTGAGTTACTAATCTATACACTAATTTAATATATATATATAGCTTAAATTAAATAAATACTTATGTTCCTCAAAAACAATCTACTTCAATTCAGAATTTAAAAACATGCTTTTACTGTGTGTCTATAAACTTTAATGTCATTGATATGCTACTGTACTTCTAAAGGTTCATAAAATGCACTTCAAGTGTGCTATTCACTATAAAAAAGGCAACAACTATTATATGTCCCACCCCTAGTTGCTGTTTTAACAAGAAGTATGTTATAAGAAAATTGCGCTCATCAAACTATTTAAAGGGATCTTTAAGGTACCAGTATAGATGTTTTTTTAAGAACTGGAATCAAAAGATCTTTGTGGAACTTACAAAGGCTCTCCTGTGGCATCAGAATCACCATTTTTGGTCCTAATTGGATCTGTCTAATTTCACTGTCAGAGGTTTGGTGAACTGGTCAACAGGCCTATTTACAGTGTTTAAATGTTGATCTATTCTGTCTTAGCTTTTCAGAACATTCAATGGATTCCTTCAGTCCACCGCTAACTAATCATTTTTCTCCTTTTGCAGATTTTTTCTCAAGTTTTTCCTGAAATGCAATCAGAACTGCCTGAAGAATGCAGGAAATCCACGGGACATGCGGCGCTTTCAGGTAAACCATTTAGCTTTTAACCTTTTCATTCATTAGCTCATTACGTCTGCTCACTTTCCAAGCATCCATCCTTCTAACTCAGTGTTTCCAACTCTCTTAGTCTGCTTTTGCTGATCTGGTCTGGTTCTGGATGTTTTTGTATACCAGTGTAGAATATTTGGAATAATTGTGCTCTCATTAGTTTTACTCTCTTCAGCATTTGATGGTATTACAAATCTGGCTCCGAGCCTGTAAACACACTCTGCATAATTGCACAACAGTGTCACTCACGCAGTGCGCGTGTGTTTGAGTGTGAGACACTGAGTAAATAACCTTTCACTGCTTTGCAAGAAACACAAGACCTTGACCTCCAGTCATTCATTGGTATGTGACCCTTGCTGCTTTCACAAGCACTCTTACACACACACACACACACACACACACAGGTTTGTTTTTGTGAAAAGTGGGGACATCCCATAGGTGTAATGGTTTTTATACTGTACAGACCGTATATTCTATTGCCCTACACCAACCCTACCCCTAAACCTACCCCTCACAGGAAACTTTGTGCTATTTCAGATTTTCAATACACTCCATTCTGTGTGATTTATATGCGTTTTGAAAAGTGGGGACATGGGGTAATGTCCTGAAAAGTCACCTTCTCCTTCTTATACCTATGTCATACCCTTGTCATTATACAAATGTATGTCCTCATTTGTCACAAAAACGCACACACACACACACACACACACACACACACACACACACACAGACACACACACACACACACACACAAGCGTGGAGGGTAAGTACAGTATTCTCATCTGTCCTGTTGTTCAGTGTCTGTCTGAACACTGTCCCATGATGCACTGCTCCAGCTGAACAGACGGCGGGTAAAGACTGACGGATTGATGAAGACTCACATCTTCAGGCATCACAAACCGTCTGGACGCTCTAAGAGCAGATTTAGATCAGAAGCCGAGAGCGTTTGTCCACATGCAGTCGGTCGGTCTTTACTCAGCTGTGTACTTGTTCTGATTAGTTAGTTTCATTTTTAACTAGTCTCACTTTGTGCCTTCATGTAATTTGGCATTAAAGCAAACCCTGCAGATGTAAGTGAATGTTGATTACACGATTGCAGAACAGACTGAAGAGCGATATTCTCTCTGACGTAACAGCTGCTGAAAACAGCCTGAATCATCATTAATCAGAGTTTAATTAGATTCTGATCAGTGGAGCTGACCGGATTAACCGCGGAACCCTGCCGCGAGCACAGTGTTAGTTTAGAATCATTCAGATACTGTTATAGTTAGTGTTAATATATTCATTTTAGTTAAACTTCTTGTAATTTAGTTGATTTTGTCATTTTTAGTAGTTTTATATATATATATGGGTCAAAGACGAAAAGAGGTTTTCAGAACATTAAAAGACTATTTCAGGATCACAGTTCAGCCCTAAAATACATTATACAAATTGATGTCCTCATTTGTCACAAAAACGCGCACGCGCGCGCACACACACACACACACACACACACACACACACACACTTTCACTGTCTCTTGCCACTACTTGTTAATTTGGTCCTCACACTGTTCTAACACTCATCACACATGGATCTTTAAAAACAACATGAATTGACTTTGTTTACTTTCGTATTAAAATCTTTTAGAAAAAAAGGTACAAAAGTTGTCATTGTGGTGGTGCCTACAGCCTGTAGATCTGGTCTTATTTTCTTTTCTGCTGATGTTCTGTTAGTAGAATAAGTCGACATGTAGCTGCAAAGTGACTTTAGTTAACAGAATGTTTGAAGTGGACTCAAAACTACCTATAGGTTTTATTTAGTTGGCTCCAAAATATCAGCCCGTTTTGAATCAGTATTCAGTGTTGAAGTAAGATATTATCTCAGCAGCTGTCTGTATAGTTCTGTCTATAAAAGAATCATCTGCAGCACTCTACGAGTGAACTCACAGTGATTGTGTATACTTAGCAGTCATATTTTACTCAGCGAGCGTGCAAGAATGCAGGAGAGAGACTTTCCATCACACACATACACAATGTGATGTCGTAGTGCGGTGGCCGCTTGCAGTCTCAGATGTTTCTTTTAAAATTCCTTATAGGAGAACAACAAATAAGACACATGTTGAGATAAGATGTTCTCAGCAAGAGAACAGAGATGTAAATGTGATGTATTTTGCTTAGCTCAAATTAATTGGTCAGATGTGATCTTGGAAGTGAGAAATATTTGAGCTCGTATTAAGATCTCTGAGCTTTTATTTTTTAGTTCAGGTCTCTTCTTAAACTTTAGAGGAGAAACATGTGATGACTAAAATACTCTTCTCAGGAGAAAAATCTGAGAAGCAGGAGATTTAAAGGGATAGTTCACCCAGTTATGAAAATTACTCCATGGTTTACTCACCCTTAAGCCATCCTAGGTGTATATGACTTTCTTCTTTCAGACAAATACAATCAGAGGTATACTAAAAATATATATATATATATATCCTGGCTTTTCAAGCTTTATAATGGCAGGGGCAATCAGAACTGCCTGAAGAATGCAGGAAATCCACGGGACATGCGGCGCTTTCAGGTAAACCATTTAGCTTTTAACCTTTTCATTCATTAGCTCATTACATCTGCTCACTTTCCAAGCATCCATCCTTCTAACTCAGTGTTTCCAACTCTCTTAGTCTGCTTTTGCTGATCTGGTCTGGTTCTGGATGTTTTTGTATACCAGTGTAGAATATTTGGAATAATTGTGCTCTCATTAGTTTTACTCTCTTCAGCATTTGATGGTATTACAAATCTGGCTCGGAGCCTGTAAATCCACACAGCTCCGGGGGGTTAATAAAGGCCTTCTGAAGTGAATCAATGCTTTATGTTAGAAAAAATATCTAGATTTAAAACTTTATAAACCATAACACTACGCCTACGTCATACGCTGGAGTGCCACTCTCTTGTAAACGTGCGTACTACAGTTAGAGGAAGCTGGAGATTACTGTTTATAAAGTTTTAAATATGGATATTTTTCTCACACAAATGCATCGATTTGCTTCAGAAGGCCTTTATTAACCCCCCGGAGCCATGTGGAGTACTTTTTATGATGGATGGATGCACTTTTTTGGGCTTCAAAATCTCATCACCCGTTCACTGCTATTATAAAGCTTGGAAGAGAAAGGATATTTTTAACTCGAAGAAAGTCATATACACCAAGGATGGCTTGAGGGTGAGTAAATCATAGGGTAATTTTAATTTTTGGGTGAACTGTCTCTTTAATGTCCATTCCATTGCTGTCTAGGAGCAACAATTGAGATATTAAGGGGAATCCCACCTCTAAGCATCAAGGGCTGTGAGAAGTAAAAAAAAAAAAAGAGAGAGATAGTGAACGATGGAGATAGATAGGGAGAGAGAATAAAACGAAAGTGTAAGTATATGCTTAGCCACGTCCCTTAGAGACTTACCTCTCATCACCAAGTCCTTTCTTCTTTGAAGAGGCAGAATTTCCTCTCAAAGCTCAACAGCAATTGAAATAAGAGGCTCTATGTGGGGTACCAGGGGGCCTCTGCAGCTTTAGAGGGCCCGTTTGTGCCACTCATAATGGCAACCTCCAACACTTATTACGTTCTTCGCATTGTCTCAGGGCGCACAAGTACTGCCCGCTTTTTAATTGAATTAATCCGAGACAACCTCTATCAGCAATCAATCGGAGAGAGCGGGGCATTGTGGGATAGGCAGAGAAGTGTGTTTTGTATGCGGTGTTAATTAGTGTACAGCATGGAAATGATTAGAGACTGTGAGTGCTTTAATCGCAGCACCGCTGGTGAGGTGAGGTGAGGCTTCAATTCCAGTTGTTGCCGCTAATGGCACAAAAATGACACACTTTACTTCAAAGTGACAAAATAAAATTCTTTTTCTGTCATTTATGCCCATAACCTTTCTTTACAGGTGGTTGTGTCGACGACAGTAAGCGTAGATGGACATGTTCTGGCTGTTTCGGACAATATGTTCGTGCACAACAACTCGAAACATGGCAGAAGAGCTCGGCGACTGGACCCGTCGGAGGGAACGCCGTCATATCTGGAGCACGGTGAGTTACTGCGGATTTAACATCAAGAGTTTAGCAGATAAATGGGATTGCATTTACTTCATTCTGTTGAATTGGCTGCTAATTGGGAATTGGGAAGTCTTAGGGGCCATTCACACAGAAGGAGTCATTGCGCTGCAAAAGAGGCAAGACGCGAGTGCAACGGTCATACGGTCCATCTAGTGCATGTTTACATAGAAAAACAATGGAAAAGTAGTGCATCGGAATGGAAAAACACATTCTGTGTGAATGGCCCCTTATTCATTTTAATGAATCAGACAGTTCAAACTGATTCAAAATACAAAGTCTTTTCTGCCTACTCATCCCATCCCAATTGGTTTGCAAGAGGAAGAAACGAAAAATGGGATCAGAAGGAGCAAGATGAGGTTGGTTAATTTGTGAACAGGGACCCTGACAGATCATGTAGACCCACACTTTATTATACTGTGATGAAATATGCAGTAAGCCTCTGCAAGCCTCCGACAATAACCACACAGACAAGTCTACATTTTATTAATAGTGTGTTGATACAAATCTTAAACTCCATCCAGTATGTGTGAATGAGTTGCTGAGAGATAACGCTTAGCTGTCGGAGCCGTCTGTGAGCTTTGGCCCTTTAAGTCACTTCTCCAGTGGTGCGGAGAGAGTAAAAGATGAAACAGAGATTAATTAAAGCACTAACCTGTGCCCTCCCTCATTCCTTTAACCCATCCCTCCATCTGCAGAAATTACTGTGGTGGGGTTTAATTGAATGCAGAGGATAAAAATTATGCACAGAGCCAGATACATTAAATTCAAAAGGACAGATTTTTTAATATGGGACAGCTGCTGTACCATGGTACTGATGATTAGCATCCCATATGAAAATTAACCATGGTTTTACTACGAATAAAACCAAAAAACCATGGTTACTATAGTTAAACCATGATAACCACAAATTAACCATGGTTTTGCTAAACTAACCATAGTTTAACCATGGTATTTGTAGTAAAACTGTGGTTATACAAATGGCAATCAATACACCAAAAAACATGGTTACTACACTTTTACTACAATAAACCATGGTTAATTTTCATAAGGGATATTCATGTACTATAGTTTTTATATGGTACTCTGAGGCAGTGTTAATTTTGACAGGAAATTTTGATTTAGTTTTAGTCATAGTCTTTTGACTAAAATGTCATTTAGTTTTAGTCATATTTTAGTCACCTGAATTGTTTTTAGTTTCAGTCTAGTTTTAGTCGACTAAATCTCATAAGA